GGAATGTCTGCAGCGTTTAGGGAGTTAAAATTGCTGAGAGACAATGGTGAAACAAATGTGTTCTGCAATCATTGGGTCATAACTTTTCCTGAATCTCTTCCTAATCGTTTTATCTTCTCATTAATACTAGGAGAAGTAGGGCTGCAAAACAGTTGGAGGGGTTAATTGTTATTTACCAGTTAAGTAAGTATATGAAAAATGATGAGCCAATCAAAGCTATCTAATCTTTGTCTGCCTGTAAGCCACAAAATTGAACAAATCGTTCTGCTTTGGTTATTCAGACTGGGAGAAAATACATATAGCACACGATATCCAATATTACATGTATTTACTCTGAGGAGATGCAAGTCCTGAACTACTCTGTAAATGCATCCGATTTACGTGACAGCTCTGTAGAAATACAGAGCTCTGATTCCAGTGTCTCTCAGTTTAGAGAAATTACAGCTTCTTGCCTTCAACTAAAGAAAAAACATAGCTCCAGAACAACCAAAGAATGAGGTTATGCAAACAGCTTCTCCAAGTTAGCTCAGAAATAGTTACCCGAGTCCCATGTAAATCTCACTAAGGACATTGCGTTTCTCCCCTCCAAACATTTATCTGGAAGAACTCCAGGAAGAAAGTGTGTCCAACGTTTTCATCCAGGATGAAAAATTTTTTTAGGCTATTGCTTATCTCTCGTCCTGCTCCTTCTTCCATCATTGTCATTTTCTCAAAACCACCCAAATCACTTATTCAAGCTAATGTCTTGCAAATTATAAATATCTGGTTACGTGCTAGCACTGCACTATCCCTGGAGAATTTTTCTGATGGATTTAAACAAACCCCTGTGCTTTCCCAACTGAATACAAATGAGGAATATTAGACTCTTGGAGTAATTTAAAACAATGGATTAAAAGTCAGGTTAGAAATGCCAATTACAGAATATCCCCAGGCAAAATAAACACCAACTTACTTTAGCAATGTTATTGTGTTTCCAGCAGGCAGCGCTCCACATTTTCAATAAGCATGTGAAAGATTTGTTTGCAACATTTTGTCTTCTGGAAGAGATCTTTAATTCAAAAGCACTATATATAATAAACGATAATGAAATTATCATAATGACATTCTGCATTCCTGAGAAGCATAATAGAGGGTTTGTGGTTTTGCAATTTTTTTGCAGGGGAATCATAAAATAGAGTTGATACGCCACATGTGAAAGGAAAAAGTAGAGAGGGAGGAAGAGTATTCTCTGAGAAAAATAATTTCCTTTTTTTTCCTCTCTCTCCTTCTGTATCTTTCTTCATGTAATCATCTTCAATCTGTTACATATGATGCATACACTCAGTTTGGTGAGTTTTCTTAGCAATTTTTATCTGGAGTCTGAATGAACCCATAGCTTATTAGTATTTTTGTAAATATATTTATGTTGCCTCTGTGTTATAGCTGGACTGACACCACAAAATGCCTGTCCACTTCTGTTTTCTAGACAAATCTAGATCTTTAGGTTCATCTCCAGTTAGTCTTGCATGTGTGAATAGCACACGTAAATGATAGTATAGCCATACAAAATAACACCTGAGCTCCTCTAAGAATTATGGAAATTAATTTCATCTAACGGTGGGTGTTTTCCTGTAAAGGTGTGGGAAGTGTGTTAAGGCTTTTCTTTGAATGGTAGTAATGCACAGCAATGGAAGCTCGACTATTTGCATTTCTCCTGTGCGGATTGTCCAGAAGGAAGGAAGAGGAAAGTGTTCAGCAACCCAATCCCAGGAAGACAGAGTCCTTGCAGATCTCACGCATCTGCTCTGCTCTCCCTTTCACTGCAGCACTTCGCAGCCAGTTTCGAGCTCTGACGGTGAAGATGATACTTTCTAAGTTGTTTCGCCTTGGCAATGTAGGGTCACAGCCGATGCAAGTTGGCGGTCTCCACCGAACTTGTCTCCAAAATCTATATCTAAACTTTAGTTTTCATGTTGATCAATCCGAGGTCCTTGGGTGAGAGAGGTGGATTTTCCGCTGTTGGTAGGATTGCGTTCTGTGTTCGTGTTTGCCTCTGCAAGGGCTGAAGGGACTCGTAGGTCAGAGGGCTCTCCAGTTTGGCAGCTGTTCGCAGCAAGGTGAACACATGTTGGACTGACGAGGTTTAAGGGCAGATTTGCTCAGTGAATAAATTCAGAGTTATTTAAGCTACTTTCAGCTATGGGACTTGTATTGATGTATTGTAGCCCCTGCTTTTATGGGCTTTTCCTCACTGTAAAATATTCAGATGAAGGGCACATTAGCTAGCCTCATTACTACGGGAAACAGCAGCTTCCCTTCTTCCGAACTGACGCCTCCGTCTTGGAAGAGACATCTGAACATTTCTGAAACTTGGCTGGATCGCCGTGTCAGCCCTACGCTCACTCAGATCAGCCTATACTGTTGTTAGGTTCGCCATGCTCCAAGGACTGGCAGACCCGGAGGACCAGCTGCACTGCTCACGTCGGATGGCTAGAGCAATAGTGACCCATGCTGTCAGCATGCCAGGAGCACAGCGCCCGCTCTGCCCATCTCGTGCCAGCTCCAGCGGGAGGGTTTCACGTCATGCCTAGGTGTCAGGAACTGCTTTCAAGCCTCTTTGGGTAGTCTCTAAGGACTTTGCCATGTTCGACAGACTCTGTGTTGGCTGCACTGATAAGGTCAGGCAGCCGCTCGTTCCTCCTGCTGAGCCTCTTTTCCTCAGAGCCTAGCACCTCTCGCGCGTTCTCTCAACTCCTCGAAGCATTTTTAGCAAGTGCAGGCACCTGGTTTTGTTGTGACACTGCGCGTCCGGATGAACGCCCTCTCTGCCTCATCTGCCCTCCAGCTACTCTCCGTGTGCTCTGTCATAAAATGCAGCTGCTGCTCCGGGGTGGCCACCAGCATTTCCAGACTCTTCTTTAATTGTAGAGACCTCAGGGAATGAAGGGAGGAAGAGGCAGACATACACACCGCTTTCGGTGCCTAATGAGGGTGAGTCCCTACTCTTGAGGGTGAATTGATGTCTGATTAAAAGTTAGATGCCGTCCAGCGAATGTACAAGGCTGCCACTTTGACAGTGCCAAGCAGCTAGCAAAATTCTTGAACATAGGATGTCTCTGAGAATTTAGTCTGAACTTTTTTCTTCTGTTTTTGTCCAGCAACTGTGCTTTTCATTGCTTCTCTCTGGCATGTCCACGTAGATGACTCTGCAGCGGGGTAGGACAAGGCAGCGAAGACTAGCACTGAATTGCAGGAATTACGAGTCTTTCTGAACTATGACTTGCACATCTGTAATTTGTCCTTTCATCCTTCCTGCAGATTTCCACAGTAAAGTGGAAAATGAAACATAAATGAACATTGTTAGTCCAGTAATTGTCTTTCTGGGACGACTGAGTTCTGCACCCGTACGCTGTTGCTGTGTACATACCTCCATCCATGCTATACGGCTCTGGACAGCTAGCGTGAACTGAGGGGCTGAAGATACCTACTGGACCACCGATCTCCCAGCCCATAGGCACAGATAGTGTCCCATCAGTGATCTCGGGATACTTTGCAGGGTACATCTCAGACATCCTCTCTCAAAGTCAGTTCTTCCACAGCTCTTGACTGCCAATGGCTTAAACTGCTAAAATACTTCTAAAAAATCCAGACACTTCTGCACAGTCCTTGGCTCGTGTCCTTCAATTGCTTATACAATGACTAAACTGTACAGTTGTCTTTTTTAATGTGAAAAGAAGCAAACTCAAAATCATCGTGTCAGATTTTTCAGTAAGCTGATTTTCTGAGAAAAATTCCTTGCTTAGAAAATACCACACGTTAGCTTTGAGGAAGTAAAGCTCCTTATGTAAGACTAGACAATTCAGGAACATGTTAGGGTTGTGCTTAGGTGAAGTGGGCATTTGTGCCTCTGTCCTTCACACCCCTGCTGACCTGGCACAGAAATCTGTTAGTAGTTTTGGGTCTATGCTTACAGGAAATCAGTAGCAAAGAAACATTTTCCCCAGTATTTCTTAAATGGTAGGAGGGTGGTCTAAATATCGTTGGGCAATCTGTGGTCACAGAAAAAGCAGTTAAAAAGGTAGCTGAAAAAAAGAAAAAAACAGGTAAAGCAAAGAACAGATACTGTTTTGTGTAATCGATACAGTGTGAGGAAATATTTATTCTGGCTGATTTCAGCTAGAAACACTCCTGAGAGAAGGCAAAGGCTCTCCTTTGCAGTTTCTCACCTATTTCATATCTCAATTACGCTAATACGTTTCCATCTGTGTGTTGGAAGGAAATGGCTAGTGCTCCAACTACTCCCAAACCTTTCTGACCAAGCAGTTGCAATATATCAGATGTCCCAATAGCTTGGTTTCTGCTACCAAGATTTTTCCTCCATTAAAATGACTCCAGCTTGAAGACTCTGTCAAACATGGTGTATGGCATCAATAATCCCCGAACATTTTGTTCCTTTCCGTTGGAGTGTACCGTCCGTCCTACATATTCATATTTTTCACAGTGTCTTGAGGATGCTTTGCTGCAGAATAGTGCACCCGGCTTTCTGGAAGCGTTGTGTTTTATTATTCAAGGGTGTGTGTTTGTTCTCTCCGCAGGAGCAGTTTGAGTTTGCTTTGACAGCAGTTGCAGAGGAAGTGAATGCAATACTCAAGGCACTTCCACAGTGACCGGCTCAGGCTCCTAAAGGCTCCCTGAGGATCCAGCCCTCATTTCCTTATCCTCAGTCCCTGTGAATGTTCTTGGAAACCGTGACCTGACCTTAACTGTGTATCTTCTGTTGTAACCACATAGTGATAGGGTCCTTACAAACTTCTTTAGCTGGTAAAAAGTTCAACAGTTAAAATGTGTATTCTGTCCTGGGGGTGTTTAAATAAATTTTACAAAGTACATTGAAGCCTCGGATTAAGCGACAGAACAGTCCATCCAATTTCTTTCACATCCTCGAAGCCCTGAATGTCACACTTGGAAAGCACACATTCATATTCTTAATAGCAAATATACAGTCTTGTGGGTAATTAGTGCAGTCAATATCGTCTCAGAAAACAGTGCTCTGTTATATTTTGTAACTTCTCAAAGGCTGAATGAGAGCGAGGGGCCTGAAGGGATCGTGATCGCTCCGAGACAATGCCGAGCGGGAGCCTGAACCGATGCCGAGGGGGGCGGTAAACCCAGGTCCAGGCTCCGGCAAAGAGCGCTTGCACCTTTTCATGCTGGGCTTCGGCGAGCAAATGTTTTCTTAACTGTTGTTTACTTTTCAGCTTTGTGCCAAGAATGGAAGAAAATCTCAGCTATAAATAAATAGGCCTGCGCGGTTGTTGCAACTGGGGAGAACGGGTTGGTCATATTAAGGGGAACCCGGGGGATAATGAGCACAAGAAGTCTTCCCGGACACCTACCACTGACACTGCAGAAAAGGAGAGAGTAGGCTAAGCCGAAGTCACGAATAAAGGCCCTGTCAGCAGTCAGGTAACTGGTTGGAGCTGTTACGGAAACAGATTGTTGATTTGATGGGATTACTGAGGAAGAAAATGGAACTCTCCTCTTTATATTTTTGCCTTTCCCTCTGTAAAAACTGTGCCATGCCATCCTTTTTTGGACCGGGAAGTGTATTTCTGTAAATGCCTGGCTGAAGGAAAAATCTCCAGTCTGCATTTTATGATTCGCGTGGAGTTTGTCTGATCCAGATATTTGTTGCATCTTTCTGCAGAGGCTCTGTTCTTGCCTTCTTCTGAATGACTCGTTTTAACTAATTATTAAGGGATAAAGAAGCACACGGGTTCAATCGCAGAGCTTCTTGTGTTCTAAAAAGCCTAATGCCCACTGTTGCAAAGTAATGCTAAAATATGTATGCAGAGGGTTTGGTTATGCAGTTTTGCTCACGTGAATCCAGAGTTTTCGTTGTAGTGCTCTTCTAGAGGAATGGAAACTTCTGACAGAAAGTACTCTGGTTTGTTCGAATGAAGGGCCCACGGCTAAAATTATCAAATGCGCTTACATGACCTAAGCTTGTAATTTTATTTTCAAAAGTGAAATTGAATTAGGTCTAAGCTACTAAATGTCTCCTTTCCTCTTGAAAATGGGATATGAGCACTTTTTCATATGTTATCCAACATCTCTGTGATTCAAGGTTTCTGGATGGTTTTTTTTTTTCAAAATCTTAATGGTGGTGTATGCTTGAAACCATGCCAGGTTAATTATTTGACTTCAGCGTTGAAAACCATATAATTGATTTTAATTTGGGAGGGGAAGCTTTTATAAACTTCTATTCAGTGAAATGTTAAAAATACAATATTGCAGAGTTTTGCTGGACCAGAGCTAACAGGCACCTATGGAAATCAACCATGTTGCAGTTTTGTGTTGTAGGCGTGGATATTGGTGATTTTTTCTTTTTAGCAATTAAAGAGTTATTTAAAATAAAAGCAGAAGACTTGTTACTTTTCTCATACATCTTTGTATGCTTTACTCGGTATGCACTGTTGCTTAATTTGTGCATATTATTACCATGGCAGCACAGAGCAGTTACTGCAGATGCCATCATCCTCTTAAGTACACATACTGTACATTAAGCCACATGTTTATTTTATGGCCTAAGCATTTTAGAGCTTTCCTAGCAATAACTAAAAAAACTAATGGAGTATGAATGAGAAAATTGCCTTTTTCATTTGATAATTTAGGTTTAACAGGATTCTTTTATTACCTTAGCTAAAACAAAATTGCAGATCAGGACAGATGAGATCAGTCTGAGCAGCATCAGCAAGCGTTTGAAGTGGATTTAATGTCAGCCGTATACTGCAGCTTTCTGAAAATGCAGGTAGCTATATCCAAATAAACTGGCCAAGGAATCAAAATCAGAACATCCTGAGCCTTCCTGTTATCAGGTAGAACTGCTTCACAGGGCCAGTTGCTGTGCCGTTACCGGCTGCCACAGGAACAAGGAGGTTTTAGCACAGGTTCTTGCCCCGTCATTCATGAGTGTTTTGCCTTCCGACTGTCCCTGGGCATACAAGAAACATGGCTGATGAGCCTTTCGTTTGCACTTCAGGAATGTTTTTTTAATTGTTCTTTTGCAAATATTTACGTTTCATAATAGCAATTTCAGGGCGATCCCTTTTAATTCACAGGCAGCTGAGTGTGAGACTAAAATATTGGTCTTCGTGCTTAGGAGTTTATTTAGCGTAGATTAGAGGGCATTAATCTCCCGCCAGGCTAATGGGGCAGGGACGTGTTATTTTATTCATACTTGTGGAGTGGTTTGAGCAACGCAAGGAAGCTCCAGCGGGTTGGACTCGCGCGCGCGCTGCCCGGCATTCGCAGGCCTGCTGGTTTCAGCCATGTGGTGTGCGGTTCTTCCACAACGAGGTGCCAGGCCTTTTCTGTCGACTGTAGGCCATCCCGCTGCATATTTCATCCGGGCGATGCCCTGTTTCCGGGGGGGGATAATTTGACGCAGGCATTTGCCTGCTAGGGAAATGCACAGTTCAGCTGCATCAGGACAAGCCATTTCCCGGGGAGATGCCAAACCACGGAAATACAAACCTGGCAAAGCCACGGTGTGAAGGAGACGAGTTCTCAGCCAGGGCAGGTATTTCATTACCCTTTCCACTGTTAACTTAATCCTTGCAATTTGGCAAGGGGTGGTGGTCTTGCTGCCCCGGGCCTCGTACCCAGGCCCTGGTACCTGCCCCATATTCACTGGCATTTTGAGTTGAGGAAAGGGTCTTCCAGGAAACCAGGATCCAGTGAGACACATAGTCCTTGCTTTTCCAGTGATGTTCTGCATGATCGTCAGTAAGCCGATTGCCAGAGAAAGGTGGGCTGGTGCCTGACTCGTAGCCATAAGCAGCGTGTTTAACATTGACCGTTCTTGTGTTCCTGATAGAGACAAACTGAATCTAGAGGTGGTGTTTGTGCATTTGAATCTGTCAATGACATTCAAGGGGGGAGCTGCGGGCGGGAGCTTGAGCCCCGCTGCTGCCGGCGCTCCCTTCCTCACCGTGCAAAACCCGCGGCCGGGGTAGAGAAGGGGTTGTCGTCGGCGTTGCAGTTTGCAGGAGTAACAGCACGGCCGCCCTGCCCGGCCTTCGGCCTTCCCGGGACGCTGGCCGGGATTTGGAAGGAGGGAGGGGCAGGACAGCGCAGGTCCCGAGTGCCCAAATCTTTGGGGTTCAGCCCCAGCTGCACGAAGAGCAGCGCGGGTTTTGCTGTTGACTCACCTATTCCAGGCACCAGCTCTAACGTTGCTCCTGAACATCATCTGGTAACACCCAGTGCGAGTCCTTGGCACTAGTGAGGGCCCAGGAATGAATTTTAGCTGAAAATCCCATATGCAAATCTCAATTTGGTAGCAAAGCAAGTAGGATTTTTTTTTTAAATAGATGCTACTGAAATTTAAAAAAATTTTAAACATTTTAAAATGTTTAACCAACACCAACAACTAAACCTTCTTCGTCTCTCTAGCGTGCATGGAGAACCAGTGTCAGTGCATCCCCAGGGAAATGACAGCTATAATACCGCTAAGGAGCTCATGCTTTATTAATCAAGTGGAACATTAATACAGCCCAACCCACTTCATAATTTCCAGAATCGGTATTAATTAAAAAAGTGTTTATTGGAATAGAAAACAAGCATTTGATTAGCTTTGTTACAGAACAATAGCTCTCCTAATTTCTATTCTGCATATTTTATTCTTTGGTTAGAAAGCCCTCAAGAAGCAGTTGTGATAATTCACTTTTTAAAACTGTACAGTTTCTATGGTTTTTGCTTTTTAAATGAGAGTACACTTTGTAGATTTGATTATTATATTTTTCTGTTAAGATTGCATTGGGCATTACAAAAGCATTCCCCACCACAGTGAGAAGAAAGCTACCCTGTTGGCTTATTGTTAAAAAAAAAAAAATTAAAACACAATTGCAGAGCTGTGGCATACTCAATCCAATTAGAGCATGACTCTTTACTACTCTTCATTTACCACATTAGAAACAAGATTAAGGTACACCAGCAAGATTTCATTTGAAGCTATTCTTGCATGCTCTTTGTACTGTATTGGATGGCATAATATTGTTTTGTTTGCATTTTCTTTCTTGTCATCCTATTATATTCTTTATATGTATATAGTTAACAAAAAAAGATCATACAAACTATTTTGTTCTACCTCTGTAAAAATCATATTTGTGAATAAAGTCACCTCGTCCGTGGCATATGGTACTGTGAATGCAGCAGTAACCGCTGGTGCTTTGCTTTTATTTTGGAGGGGGCACCTCTGAGGGAGAGCCTGGAGGGCTGAAGGGTGTCTGTGTGCCTGGCTGACGGAGAGGGGCAGGAGCACCTCGCTGCCAGCTTCACGGTCCACCTTCAATTTACTCCACCCCGGGGAAGATTGCAGCCGCCCTGGCTTTGGTGTGCGGCCTGGGCGTTACGGCTTGCAACAGGATGCTCCCCGGTTTGGTGGAGGCAGGGGCTGCTGGAGGCAGCTGCCTCTATCCAGACCAAGAGAGTGAAGCATGAAAAAAATGACTAAATTACCGAGACCCTCCTTTCCAATGGGAAATGGAAAAAAATTGGATTGTAGTTTCGTAATCTATCAGTGTGTGCCACGACTGCAGCAGTTAACAGGTGGACTAGATGATGCCCCCTTTTAGAAAAATTAAAGGCAGGAAGATGCTTTTGGGGGAGGAAGGGTGGTGGGGCAGAGCATCATATCTTGGGTGGTGCTGTTAAAATGGTAGCAGGTTTCACAGAAGGATTTGAATGGGTAATGGAAAAATATTCACTATTTCATTAAATAAGGTTAAGAGGAATAAAGTCTGAGGTTCACTAGCACAGCATAAAAATAACCAGTCTTTTCCCTGGGGCTAGGAAGTAATTTTCCTATAAGCACTATCCATTATATGAAGGTTTATATCTTTCCAAGAAATAAGCTATTGTTACCCATTATCAGCAGAAGTCTTTAGACTCAGACTGCCTTGGTATGGCAATTTTCCTGGTCTGGTATTGTGTGCTGAATCTTTACTTGTGTTTGAAGACGACTCAAAATAACTTGCTGCTTTTGCCTGAAAATAACTAGAAAAATGTAAATAAACAGAAAGGTAGAAGCCTCGCCGGTCCAGCTCACTCCCTCCCATCAGAAGAATCGTATTTTGCATTCTTTAACCATGTTTACGTAGCTGCGTGTTTTAATATCTGTGGCTTTCTCTGTGTAAGAAGGTGACTTTCATCTTGGAAGCAAAATATATGCACCATTATAGCTGCTTTCCTGGTAGCGTAATTTAGGAGGTCTTTCATCTGCAAGGTAGTTTTCTGAAGCCTCTGGTAGCATCAGATGGAGGACAAAAAGAGAAATACGTTTAACTATGTAACCACTGCAGCATTATGTATCTTCTAGGCAAACAAGCCATCCGTTGCCCATACATTGGGTCGTGCGACCAACCCTCACTTTTGCTGTACGCTCCACGGACGCCCGTGGTCCTTCTCCCCCCTGGGCGCTCCCGCGCTGGGTCGGTGTCTCAGCTGGTGCAAAGGAGCCTCACCTCGTCGCTGCTACTCTCGTTTTTACGGTTACGGCTCCAGCTCATGAGCAAAATGGCGTAGTGGGTAGTGGCTCCTGGTAGGGCTCAACAGTGAGCAGGGTTTGTGTATCAACCCACAGGAGCTACAGACTGTGAAATGACCCACATGAGACGTACAAGCTGTGGCACAGCCCTGCTCCTGCTGCCGCCCCAGCACTGACGGCTGCCGCCGACGGAGGACGGCACACGTTCACGGCACGCCTTAATGCTCTGAAGTTCGCAGCACTCCTGTTGCACAGCCCGTGCTGCTGTAAACTTGCCGTCGTTCAGATCCGGGGAGTCAGGCTCTTGCAGAAGCGTGCAGGGACGCGCAGCGCTGCGCCAGCCAGCGCGGCAGGAGGAAGGAGCTGCCCCTTCTGCTGCGCTGCTCGGGGGGCAAAGCAAAAGGCAGGGACCTGCTCCTGCTCCCATCCCAACTGCTGCAGTCCTTTATGCAGTCTAAATGACAGAAACTTTTCTAGTTGCCCAAAGATCCACTGGGGTTTTATTTTTAGAACTTGTAAAATTTCGGGGCTGATGGGATTGGGCGTTTTTGTGTTGCATGCTTAAGAAATATAAGAACCACGCGTGTAACCAGGAGGGCTGTGCTTATTCTTAGTTTAGCGATAATACCAAGACATCGTGTGCTTGAAACAACTGAATCCCTGGAGTAATTCTTCTGACTGCAGTGCAGTTAAGCCAAAATTTAATTTCTCCCCTTGAGAACACACCAATTATCCCCCACGTGGCAGGTAAAGCAGCAATACAGGAAAGAGGCTGTACGTGGAAGAGCATCCTGAGAGATACAGTTTAGCATACATTTTGGGATATACGATGCAAGTCTTTGCCCTGCATCAGATTTTTTCTTGTAGTAGCTTTATCCAGAATCCTCAAATATAGGGCAATGCCTTACTCCAGCATTTTCAGTGGAAGTTAGAGGTGAGATTCCTCTTACCAGCCTTTGGGTAGCTTCTGCAATGGCTTCTACAGATGAGCAACTCATCACGAGCATCCTTTGTAGTCAGTGGAGCAAAATAAATGGTTTTATGGTGTGATTTGTCTGACCCAGTTTGGATGTCTACTTTAGCATACGGTGGTGATCATGCTATTCACTCCATATCCTGAAACAGTGAGTTCCAAGGTTTAATTATGCATTAGATAGTAAAGCATTTCCTTTTGGCACTGTAAACCTATTCCCTCATAACTTCTTTGGATGCACTTGTGAGAAAAAGTGAAGTTATTTCTGATTTTATGGACCATTCATGATTTTATAGATGCTTATCCTACTCCTCCTTAGTTTTTCCTGTTCCACTCTGAAGACTCGTTTCTCCTCTTATGGAACTTGTTCCATGCCTTTGATCATCTTTGCTAACTCTCACCTTATCTTTTCTATTTCTACTATACTTGCCCTGAGGTGCATGGGCCCCAGACCCACACACAGCATTCAGGCTGTGCTGCGCTGTCGCATACCGATGGGGTTTTTTTCTTTTTTTCTTTTCTGTGGAATTTCTGACACTCTGTTTCCCTTCTCGACTGCTGAGCACTGAGCTGGTGCTCACAGAGCGTTTTCATTCACAGTAATATCAAACTTCTTGTTCTTCCTGGGAATAGCTCACCCAGAAGTCATCACCGTGTCTTTATTGTTAGGGCTGTCCTTCGTGATGTGCATTACTTTATGTTTTTCAACAGCGATTTCATCTGCCATCTTCACATGGTCACGCATTATCACAAGATCTTTCCATGACACTCCACAGCTACTTTTGCTTTTACTATCCTGGGTAATTTGCATCATCCACACTCTGTTATGTCACTCTCACCTCCTGCTTTTTCACATTGTTTATACTGGGAAGTCGCCACCACTGCAAAAACTGACCGTTTCTTCCCAACCTCCTTTTTTTATCTTTTAAGCAGTCACTAATCCGCAAGAGAACTTCCCCCCCTTATCCCACTGCAGCTCCGTTTCTGTAAGCACCTTCCATGACACAGCCTTTGCCAAAAGCTTTCAGGAAATCCAAATACACAATATCAACTACATCAGCCATATCAACATGCTCACTTATCCCTTCAAAGCCTGCTAGTAAGCTTTTGAGTCATGACTTCCCTCTGCAAAAGCTGTGTTGCTTCTCCTTCCTTTCATGTCATCAGTTATGTAGGGTCTAAACATGAGGTGGTAGATGCAGCTTACAGAATACGATGCCGAAACTAAATGGTTTTAGTAGCCTTGTGGTGCTGGAGAGTGGGCTCTAAAAGTCACAGGATAACCTAGGCTGGAAAGGACCTCTGCACGTCAGCTAGTCCAAACTCCCACTCCAAGCAGATCTCACTTACAGACCTGCTCAGGGTCTTTTGCAGTCAAGTTCTGAATATCTCCAAGGATAGAGATATCCTTTAGGATACTTCCAAGAGACGGTCTCTCTGGGCTCTCTTCATGAAAAATGTTTTCTTAAGACCTGACTGGAATTTCCCTTGATGCAGCTCAAGAGCTAATCAGCTCCCCAAAAGGAGGCACCTATATTTGGCTAGCTGAATCTCTCTCTAAGGTCCCCTGGCAAGACTGTCGTTTACTTTAATGGGCACTCAGACATGTAGCTCACATGCAGACATTTATATTTAAGTGCCTTAATCCGTGAGCTGAATGCCACCCCCTGGACACGATTCAGTTGCTTGTATGTAAGTGGTCGATGTCACTGTAGATGCTGTGGGGGTCCTGCCTGGCCTCCAGCACTCAGGCCAGACAGGTGAAGAGTCTGAAACCTTGTATTGTGCCTGACAGCCTGCACTGATGGCTTAAATCTCTGGAGGTGTCTCAAATGACACGGAGCACTTACAGAGAGCAGAATCCCACATCATGTGTCAACAAGTTGTATCCTGTAGCTTCTACCAAAATTCAAGGTATGGGAAGGAATTTCACAGGGCAGTAGTTTCCCAGACATAATCCCACACTCCCGAACCTGCAAAACCCTCATTATGGCAGGTACCTGCCTGTTTGAACATCCATCAGTAGTGGATTCAGGGCCAAGCTATGACTCCTGCAGTCGGCCGTACTGCTTGAGCGTGCGCCAAGCCTGGGCAGGAGGTGCTGCGCCGGCAGCAGCAGAGGTGCAACTGGAAGGCAGCCCTTCTGCTGGGTAGCACTTCAGGGCTTTGTGTACCTCACAGCCAGTGACAGGGTTGCGTGGGAGCACAGGCACTGCTGCTTTCCAGCACGAGAGGGGGAAAAAAAGGAAAAGTGGCCAAAAACATGATATTTAGACTTTTGAGTTCATGTAAAAAACTACTGAACATCAATGTTCTAGTAGCACTTGTTTCTAAATGTGACATCCATTTCCTTTGTGCAGGAAGTCTGCTCCATTTTTCCAGCAGATTTCATTTGTGTTGTCCAAGTTAGAAATGTTTGTTCCTGCGCACAGATATTATGATATAGCATGAGCATGAGCAAGACCAGTTCTTGCTGTGTTACTGGTGTTACACCTAATCCATCTGGCAGAAGCCAAAAATGACCCATGGCTTTGCAGTCCTGATAAAAGTATTACTGAGACTGAAAAGATTGTTGAGACTGAGAAGCAAAGCAGTATTCTTGTAGATGGCTGAAGGGGAAAAACAAACCATCATTTTTTCCAGAATTCCTTTTTGATTATTTATTGGTATGTTTCCATGAGCAGGAATA